GCCCGGCTATTTTTTGGTTGCAGCCATCATTGTTGTTTGGCGGGTCCGGGCTGGGGATTGGAACCCGCCACCTTAGGTGTACGTGGCTGGCGCCTCAGCCGGTTGAGCTATAGGCGCCGAGCCAGTTAAAAGTGTTTCTAAGTGATGAGTGGACAGTGAGTGTTAGTATTCATTCTCCTTTTAAAGATTGGTCCTCAGACCTTTAATGTGAAGATTTAAATGTAAATTCACATTTAATTCACATTCACATGTGCACAGTTAGCTAAAGGGGCTAATTTAAATTGGTTTTTTTTAGAAAAGATTAATCAGGTTAATCATTAATTCTAAACGCTTGTTTCTGAGATAGGATTTTTTTTCTAATAGGGATACCAAGAGGCATCTTTCTTTTCAGTATGATTAACAGAGAATTCTATACCTACTATTATTATATTTCAATGATTAGGAAAAAAGGAGGAGAAATACACTTTAACAAATGCCTCCAAGCATGATTTGTTTCCTTTCACAGGATTTCTGATCCTTAACCTTGCTGTGATCATTGTGATGGAACAAGAAAAAGAATTGTTGGTCTCAGATTCTAATGGCTTCATGGAGAAGGAGAGTTTGAAAAGTCCCTTTACAGGTGAGGGATGAAAAAGATGTGAATCCTTAGGAAATTTATCACAAGATATTTTGCAGAGTATGTAGAAAGAAAAGGGCATTAGAATGAGATGAACCTTAATTTGATTCCCTGCTGTGTCACTTATAAGCAATGTTAATTCTTTTAGCTTCAGTTTTCTCATCTTTAAGAAAAAAATGAATGATAATAACTGCCTCACATATTTTAGAATTAATGAGATACCACCACATGTAAATCTACTATTAAATCTAGTTGCTACTGTTATATCTATTGTGTTCACTCAGATTTTAATAAAGCTATTGTCTAGTATTCATCTCACATGGGATCCTGTTCAATTTCACCTCTATTCAAATGCTTTTTTTTCTAAGTCTTCTAGAATAAAATTTAATACATTTGATTTTAAATTTATATCCCCCTTGGCATTTGGTGACAGTGGTTCAAATAATTTATTCACTTGCTTCTGGTGAACACAGAGAAAAGAAATAAAACTAACTTTAAACACTTTTTAAGTAAAATAATTTATGAAGTTTCACATTGTTAGCCCTCTCTTCCACTGTAACTTAGAATTTACTTCTCTGGTAGATAGGGAATATGTTTAGTATATTTGTTCATTCTTTCAGGAGATGAAAGTAAGAATAATTTGGAAACTTTTCATCACAATAATTCTAAGGCACATAAAAAGCTAGCTTCAAAATGGTCTGAGAGAATTGGCCTACAAAATTCTGATCATGAGGATGCAAAAGAAATGCCATTGACTTGGTCTCGAGGAGATGAGATTTGGTGTCATGATTCCTGTGAGAATAATGTCAAGTCAAAGAACTGGAGAAATTCTATAGGGAAAGAAGAGGAAAACCCCAATCATCAGGAATGGTACCCAAGAGAAGATGCCAGTGCCTCTGTCCAGCAGAAGTCATCCTTTGGAGACAAACCCTACAAATGTTCTGAATGTTGGAAAAGCTTCAATAACAGTTCCTATTTGCGTACTCACCAGAGGACCCACTCAGGAGAAAAGCCTTATAAGTGCTCTGAGTGTGGGAAATGCTTCTGTAACAGTTCTCACCTGATTCAGCATCTAAGAATGCACACAGGAGAGAAGCCCTACCAGTGTGGTGAATGTGGGAAAAGCTTCAGCAATACCTCCCATCTGATTATTCATGAGAGGACTCACACGGGAGAGAAGCCCTATAAATGTCCTGAGTGTGGGAAGTGTTTCAGTAGCAGCTCTCACCTTATACAGCATCACAGAACACATACAGGTGAAAAACCATATGAATGTCCTGTTTGTGGAAAAGGTTTCAGCCACAGCTATGTCCTAATAGAACATCGGAGGACTCACACTGGGGAAAAACCTTACAAGTGCCCAGATTGTGGGAAGAGTTTTAGTCAGAGTTCCAGCCTGATACGTCACCAGCGGACACACACAGGTGAGAAACCCTACAAATGTCTTGAGTGTGGAAAAAACTTTGGTTGTAATTCTACTCTAATAAAGCATCAGAGAATACATACAGGAGACAAACCCTATCAGTGTTCAGAATGTGGGAAGAATTTTAGTCGAAGTTCAAACCTCATTACACACCAGAAAACACATACAGGAGACAAATCCTGTGAAACTGCTGAATATGAAGAAAGTTTGAGTCAGAAATGCAGCATGGTAGAAAAATGCAGAATCCAGCCAGGAGAGAAACCATATAGATGTTGTGAATGTGGAAAGAGTTTTGGTCTTAGCTCCCATCTCATTAGACATCAGAGAACGCACACAGGAGAAAAACCTTACAGGTGTTCTGAGTGCTGGAAAACATTCAGTCAGAGTTCCACACTGGTGATTCACCAAAGGACACACACAGGAGAGAAGCCTTATAAGTGTCCTGATTGTGGTGAATGCTTCAGTCAAAGTTTTAACCTTATCAGGCACCGGAGAACCCACATAGGAGAAAAACCTTACAAATGTACCGACTGTGAGAAATGCTTCAGTAGAAGTGCCTACCTCAGTCAGCACCGGAAAATTCACATAGAAAAGTCTTTTGAGTCTCCTGAAGTTGGGGGCTTACCTCATGAATGGACTTGGAAAAACTATTCAAAAGAAATGCCTCTTATCCCTTCATTTTCAGTCTCAAATTTATCTTCTTCCTGAGTCCCCAAACCTGGTTATTCCCCCTGCCCAATTGGACCATTAGGGTTTACAGTATTCTGTGATCATTGGGCTATAAAGTTTCTTTTGTGTGTTTGTCAAAACATTTGGGAAATGTCAGCCTCCTGGCCTAGAGGATGGGAAGATCACAGATCAATAGGTTACTGGATCTGTCCTGTGAGAGGTATTCCCAAGGGTGAATAAAGAGGAGAAAAAAAATTTTTTTAATTTAAGGTAAGATAGAAATAGAGTCAAAGGAACACATAACGAGTGATACTATGAGTAAGCAACAGGACAGGTGAAAACTAGAAGCTAGGATTGTTATTGAGTTACCTTTTTTTCCTTTGCCTTATTGGGTAGAGATAGATCATTACTGGCCTCAGGTGTTTATCCAGAGAAAGGATCTTTTTGATCAAATAATGTGATATCCTGGATGTTTTCTTGGGTCTTAAGGAAAAAAATTCATATTTTAAAATACATTTTTATTCACTAAAAATTATCTTACAGCATTTAGAACTGTGCTGCCCGATACCATAGCTTCTAGCCATATGTGGCTATTTAAATTTATATTAATTTATATTTAGATAAATGCAAATTTAAATCCAGTTCCTTAGTCACACTAGCTACTTGCTAAGTGCTCAGTAGCCACATGTGGCTAGTGGGTGCTGTATTGTGTATTATAGAAGGTTCTTTCTTTCAGGATCATTATTCCTGACTCATAAATATTTCCTGCGAGACTGTAGGAATATGCTCTGTGGTTTTTGCTTTCCAAAAGGAATTGCAATAAAGAATAGAGATGGGATAGAGTTTTGAAGATGCTAAATCTAGAGATTGGATTTTGTAATAATTAAAAGTTATCATTTATGTGCAGCCAGCTGCATTATCTAGTGAATTTCTTGACCAAAGCCAGAATACACGTAATAGGTAGGATTCCTGAATTCTGTTTATAAATTTTTGAGAAAGAGTCTTTTCCTGGAGTTCTTCCATTGTGTAATTCCTGGTCAGCTCAGGAACTGTGTTTTTTTTTTTTTTTTTTGGCTTGTTTTTTGTTTTTCTAATAATCCACTAATTCTGAGCCAGTGACCAAGGGCAGTTTGCCAGCAGACACTGAGATTCCTTAGCTCCTACATTGACAGTTTTGTTTTTTTTTTTTTGCCTCTTAACAGACTTGGTATGTGGATCTCATAACTGAGAACTCACCTTCCCTACTCATCTGTACTATGGGAATAATGCTTTGGAAAATTTTAGATATGTCATATTCTCCCTCTCCCATCTTTTACTCCTAGTGCAAAAGGCAGAGGCAAAGGAAGGTTAGGACTCCTGAGTTGCCCAGAATTTCATCTTACTTTTGGATTCAAGAAATATTTTATTAAGAATATGTAGAGATGTGTATTAGGAATGTGGAGCCAGTTGTGGCTGCTGCAAAGGGCTGTGGCTGGAGGGGAATTGGGTTGCATGGGGATTATTTCATTTTTCATGATTGAATTGTCTGGTTTGGACTGTTATATTTAAAAATAAAGCAAAAGCTAATAAATGAAGATATTTAAGAAGTATTTGGGGGGGTGATTGGGCATTATTGAACATTGTTGGCTTTTATGTGGATCTCACCCAAGCACCTTTCACCCTCATGTGTTATATAGTATTTGCCAAATTTTCTTAAATTTTAATATCTCAGGACAAGTTTTTGTAGTTTTTTTTTTTTTTTTCTACAGATATCTAAAAGCACTGTACTCTTTCAGTAAGGTTGAAATTAAGTCAAAGCTGAGGATGGTCCAAAGGGTGGGGCTTGGTTATAGGGATGCAGATGGAAACAGAATGCCTGGCAATCCTGACCTTGTGGGCTTGTAGCCGCTTCCAGGCAGAGGTAGCTTGTGGGTGCTAAGACAGTTGTGTTTCTGATCTAACACTGCTTAAGTCGGATAAGTCAGTACATATTCTAGCATTTGACAGATTGAGAGATGGAAAGGAAGCTTGGTTGCAAACTGACCATGATTGGTTTTGGGCCATGCTAAGTCATAAATAAATGTTCACATTAAGAAGGTAGTCATTGGCTCGGCGCCTATAGCTCAACCGGCTAAGGCGCCAGCCACGTACACCTAAGGTGGCGGGTTCGAATCCCCAGCCCGGACCCGCCAAACAACAATGACGGCTGCAACCAAAAAATAGCCGGGCATTGTGGCGGGTGCCTGTGGTCCCAGCTACTTGGGAGGCGGAGGCAGGAGACTCGCTTGAGCCCAGGAGTTGGAGGTTGCTGTGAGCTATGATGCCACGGCACTCTACCCAGGGGGACAGCTTGAGGCTCTGTCTCAAAAAAAAAAAAAAAAAAGAAGGTAGTCATTGGTTAAGCTGGGCTTGGTAGTTCACACTTATAGGTGGGTGGATCCCTTGAGCTCAGGAGTTTGAGACCAGCCTGTTTCTACTAAAAATAGAAAAATTAGCCAGGCATTATGGCGGGCACCTGGAGTCCCAGCTACTCAGGAGGATGAGGCAAGAGGATCACATAAACCTAGGAGTTTGAGGTTGCTGTGAGCTATGAGGCTATAGCACTTTAGTCTGGGATAACAGTGAGACTGTGTTCCCCCTAAAAAGAAGGCATTCGTTGGTTAGACTGATAAATACAGGTGAAAGATTTTACACTTTAACATTGCTTATTTTCTGAACGTTAAGTAATATATAAAAGTATGAAGACCAAAATTAAAATGACCCATAATTTTCTCTAGGGATTACTCACTGTGGAAGTTCTGGGGTCTTTCCCAACAGCCTTTTTTCTAAGTGTATATATATATATATATATATGTATGAACAAATACTTTAAAAATTAGGTCATATACTATATGAATATGTATAGTATTGTGTTTTTATTTTTTTCTTCATATTGTTTGTCATTTTACTGATTTTAGAAATATTATTATTGCCTGAGTAAGAGCAAGACCCCATCTCTACTAAAAAGGGAAAAACTAGCCAGGCATGGTGGTGGGTGCCTGAAGTCCCAGCTACTCTACAATCAGAGGCATGAAGATCACTTGAGCCCTAGAGTTTGAAGTTTCTGTGAGTGATGACACCACAGCACTCAACCCCCCAAGGTGACAGGGTGAGACTCTGTCTCAAAACAACAAAAAATAATAGAAATAATTATTATGAAGCTTGATATAGTAGCTTGAGCCTATAATCCCAGCTAGTTGGGAGGCTGAGGTGAGAGGATCACTTGAGACTAGGAGTTTGAGACCACTCTAGGCAATACAGTGACACCCTATCTAAAAATGAAATAAAATAATTATTACAAATTTTTAATGTCTGCATGATATTACACTGAATGGATGTGCCCTAACAACTTAATTATCCTAGAGTTGGGCATTTGTATTGTTTGTTTACCATTAAAAATAACACTGATGTGAACAGAGTTTTTTGGTTGTTTTGTTTTGGTGTTGGGTTAGTGATTATCTAGTTTTGCTTTTCTTTTTTGTGTGCAAATCTTACTATACATGTGTAATTATTTTCTCAGGGTGAATTTCCAGAGGTAGGATTATTAAATCAAAGGTCATAAATGATTTTTTTTTTTTTTTTTTGGCCAGGGCTGGGTTTGAACCCGCCACCTCCGGCATATGGGGCCAGCGCCCTACTCCTTTGAGCCACAGGCGCCACCAGGTCACAAATGATTTTAAAGGGAGATTGGTCAGTTGCTTTCCAGAAATTTCATCAATTTAAATTACTACAGCGAAATAATTTTTTAAGACACCTTTTCAGAGGGTGTAGAGAAAAGCAAATCATATGTAAAAAAAAGTATAATAATATATTACTGTAATTCAAAGCCAATACATTAATACAAGGTGGACATAAAGTTCATGTGCAATTTAAAATAGTTTAACATAGTAAATTACACACAAACTTTATGGAGATCCTGTATGTTAAGATTTAGGGAAATGAAATATTGCTCAAAGCCTGAACTAAGAGGAGGATTGATTGAGAAAGGGTCTGGCTAGTTCAATACGTATGGCCATTGCCACCTGATTCAGAAAATGAAGTGCACCCCAAAACTAGGAGACTAAGTTCAATTTAGGTTTGGCCAATGGGTGAGTATCTTTTAGTTTGTAAAATTCATGTGAAGGTTGACTATACAAAATGGAGTCATTTATATCATACTCAACCAAAATGGGGTCCGGAGGCCATAGGGAAGGGCACCCATGTCACGTTCCGCTGGTTTATAAACTATTTTTGCAATTCAGTGGAAAAAGCACAGAGACCTAACTGTATAATGTTTTTGAAGGGGTCTCTGAAAAGCAAAACTTGCAGCCCCTGTCTGTTATTCAGAAGGAACTCTATAAAGCAGAGAACAACCCTGAGGGAAATAGTTAAAACTGACAAAGTAGAGGGCCAAGAGAAGATTAAGGTAGGAATGAACTTATTGAAAGGCAGATGAAACAACAGGGCAGGGGGTTCCTGTGTAGACTGAGAGGGACTTGTGAGAAGGTGGGGGGAAGTCATTTTTCTTGCAGAGTGAATGATGCTGTGTCTGAGACTGATTCTACAACACATGTTGATCTTGCCCCTGGGTGAAAGCACATGTAGTGAGAGTAAGATGGAGTTGGGCAGGCTAAGGGGGACATGACCTTGCCGCAACTGGTCTGGTTGGTTAGGTCCTGCCTAACCTTCACTGTCGCTCATTCTTACAGTTTTGTAAATTTAGCTCCCACCCTAACGTTGCGTACTTTGAGTAGTTTAGGTGGATTGATTTAGGAGATTGTTGGAGGGCCTAACACAGTCACACATGAACCATTTTCCCCACCTTCTCCTCCTCTTCTCTTAAAACAAAGACACAAAGGATCTGGCTAGCCTCACCCCCCAGAAGTTCTCAGGACCCTAAATTTCCAGGCAAGCTATGGAATGTGCCCACCACCCATGGCTCCATATAAAAGTGGTCTCTAACTGCCCCTGGGTGTGGATGCTATCTTTGTACTGCCCAGGTGGGTCACTCTCCCCTTTCAGTAAACCTGACCTGAACATCTCTGTGGCCTCTCTGGACACCACCATTTATACCTTTCAGAGATTAACTCTTGAATTAGAATGTTGTAATAGGTCACTGAATTATGCTACGGGTTAAGGTGATCTTTGCTTTGAACTATGCAAATAATAACAAATACCGCATTGGAAAAAGGGTAGCTTTGGGTATATAAGAAGTAGAAATTTGAGGAAAGATTGGTGAACCATTTCAGCCACCCCTTTACTGTTAAGCCTTGTCTTAACTTTTGCAGAGCTTTTTTATGTCTATCAATAAACTCTGAATACTCTATTGTGGTGTGTACTCTTTATTTCATCACGAT